TTAACTTTCAAGACGAATACAATTTAATACTGATTTTCAGTCCTAACAGTTTATCTCGCAATGCCTTTATAATGCTATGCAACCATTTTAAACAAAAATATTGGTTGTAATCAAGTAGGAAAATAAGTGTAGAAGAGAAAATGGCGTCGTTTTTGACAATTGTTGCTCACAATGAATGCTTTAGAATGGTTAAACGTAGATTTCAACACTGCCTATTCACAATTGTGCTCATGAAGTATTGAGATGAATGATGGAATTCACGAGAGAGATAGTAAGACCAACATCCTTTGATGGAACATCAAATATGTCAGAGTTTTAGGCACCTCAAAGAAATATTTTTGGTATGATTTATGTTATTGATTTGATATTCTGAACCTTTATATTTTCTACAAGTTTTCTATAGTTGATGTTTTTAAAGGGAGCTATAGGTGCACTAGATGGAACCTGATACATGAAGTTGTGCTTAGTAATCAACAAACAAACTATAGAGGAAGTAGAAGCGAGGAATTCTACCAAAACGTTATAACAATTTTTTATTTTAATATATGATATTCACGTTTATATGGGCCGGATACTAAGGCATTGCACATGATTCTAGAGTTTTGAGGGAAGTTGCATGTAACGCAACTTCAGGATTTCCGTTTCCTTGATCAAGTAAGTATCATTTTTCTTAACATTAAAAGGTTATTATTCATTTATATTTTTTAAGTTGTAGATGTAATTGCAGATAAATATTATCTTAGTGATGCTGCATATACCTGTATCTATGGATTTGTGACTCCGTATCGCAATACAAAGTATTAGTTAGCAAACTCTGACGTAGACGTGCATTAACTAAAGAATAGATGTTCGATCATGCTCATGCACAATTTAAAAATGTTATCGAGCGTGTGTATAGTGTCTTAAAAAGAATATTTTCGATCATGAAACAAATGGCTCCTTATTTTTTCCAATACAGAAAGATGTGGTGATTGTTTATTTCGCGATTCATAACTTTATAAGAAAATACAATATCCAAGAGTATTTATTTATTGAATACGATGAGAACACCATGTTTACCGTTGCATGATGGAAGCAACAAATAAAAGTTGATGAAATGTAGTGGAGTTCTCAAGACAACGAATATATGACTAATTTGAATGATCAGATTGTCAATCTATTATTATCCAATGTTCCAAATTAAAATTTATGGGAAAATTATTATGTTCAAATTCAAATTAGAGTAGATTACATTTTAGGTTCTTGTTGTCACCACTCATTATCAAGTTTAGTCCATTTGTTAAATTAATTACATTTTTGGTAATTATTGTTGCTATTTTGTTTTACTTTTGGTCCTTTTGACTAACTCTAGTTAATTTTTTAACCAATTTAAAACCATGGACAATACTTTTTTAAAGGTGTAAATCACCAAATATGAAATTTTATTTTTAATGATCATAATCAGTTAATATAATAATGGTTATAAATGAAAAGATACAAAAGATTTTAAAAAGGAAAAATATAAACCATAAAGATGAAAATCGTTATTTAGTGAATAATCTAATAGAACAAGAAAATGGAAAAAACAATAAATAAAAAAGAGTAACCAACTTTGTAACTAGAGTTAGTTAGAGAGACCAAAAGTGAAACAAAATGACAACTATAATGATCAAAGCTATAATTAATTTAGAAAATAGATCAAACTTGATAGTGATGGGCAATCACAAGGACCAAAAAGGTAACCTACTCAATTATGAAATTGGTATTTTGTTATCTTTTGTCATTCCAAGAGTTATTCATATATAACATTTGGTAAATGATTACATTAGTTTACACACTTGATCATCATATATAGGATTATAATTATCAATTAACATCAAATCCAAAATACTCGATAACAGTTATTTTACCAGCTATCAGCTCATTTACTATGCATGGTTTTGTTCTACGTAAATTTACCTATTTTTTGAGTTTTCTATGTCGATAACATTTACTTTATGCGATTAATTACTTTTATTTATGGTTTATTAAATTATTTACACATTAGATCTTTGGAAGTCAAACAGATCTCTCATAGTCGTGTTGAAATCCAGCCAAAACAATTATTCTCCTAAATAACCCGTGACTCCCTCATCTTAACCTGGCGTAAAACTTGAAAAACAGAGCATATCATACATGAATGAAGCCACCCGATTTCAAATCAAGATAATATGTTACCAACATCATGAGAATGGCAATTACTATGCCTATGCCTCTATGCCCTATGCCTATCCCAGTGGAAAATGAAGTTTGATTTATCACATGGTATTAAGTTTTGTACAATCAGCAACCCTTTCTGTTTGTCTGCCTCCCTCCATTATCGATGCTTTGCTATTGCTTCTCTTCCTCTCTTCCATCAGTCAGTAGTAGTCGTTCGATTACTCTCTTTCTTTGCACCAAGTATGAAAAGTTGACTTCAATTTCACCCTCTTTGCCTACTCGTAGAATTAGTCCGCGACAAATGTTGATAAGCATTTGGATCATTCTCATCCTCATCCTCATCTGAGGACAGATATGATGATCCCATCCAAGATCTAAATCCTTCATTTACTCGTCTTTCTACATCTGGTGTGAATTCCGCTTCCAACATTTCTAACCCAAGGTTACGCCCACCAAACTCGCTCTCATCCAGAACCGTGGCTGCTTTCCTTCTAAGGTGGAAGGCAGTCCCACCATACAGAATAACTAGTCCCCATGATGCGATCTCATAGCACCAGAACAAGGGTATCGAGCACCTACTCCCTAGTGTCAGCAGCGTTGAACCAAGAAACAGTGCAAGAAGACCAAAAGTGATGGCAAACACCAAGTTTAGAATGGATAGACAACGAACTCCTCCTGCAAACCACAAATGCATCAACGTCATTAAAACTCACCCACCAACTAACTTTCACATTTCCGAAAAGACAGAATGGTTGCAGGCTATGGGAAGAACATCTAACGGTAAGAAAATCTACGCTCGTGTGAAAACTATCTTTTCAACATGGACTACAGTGACAGTATGAATATGGAAGCAGAAGAGAGAAAAAGAAATTAGGCCTACTACTTATTGACAGCCCCATATTTGGTACCATTACTGTTCTACTGAAATTACATCAAGAGGAAAAACATACAAAATCCATTGGTGAATTTACTAATGGTTAACAACATTATCACCTTTACAAATGCTCCACACAAACCATTTACATTATAAACAAATTTCATATAATAGCTTAGCACCGCAGATGACAAGTCTTGTAGACTAAAATGATTGTTTAGTGGCAAGTCCACTTTGTTTTCAGCAGTTGTTTATTGCTGATATGAGTCGCAACTTCTACCAACACAAAAACAATAGATATAAGAGGTTAAACAGAAATTGACTAATTAAATGGCAGAAATAATTGCATAAACGAACACTTGTGTGAACATGCAGGCACTAGGCATAAAATGGGATTGGAAATAAATGGAACTTAAGTGGTCTTCATAAAATAAATTTCACCTCAAAGAAAATCACAAGATTCCAAGGCAAAAAGAGAATCTTTAAAATCACAGTTTTGACCATGGAAGTGATCCCACTTCCCACCTTGAGCAAATACACCTAAAACTTGAACATTTTCTTGAATTCATCAGTTGCTTTAAGAATAACATACATCATGTGAAAATTTGCAGAAACAAATCACAAGCCTCAAAATGCAAGTGATTGCAGCAAAGACGTTAGCTGGACCTGAACCTACATAAGTAATCTGAGAATTGGGGTTTTGAGTCACATATAACTAAGGTCCCGTTTGGTTTTGAGGGATTTGGAATTAAATTCCAATCTAATCCCATGATTGGTTTGAAGGATTTGAAATCCCACAAACATAGGATTTTTGAAATCACATGGGATTTCGTCGGATTTGTATATAATAATGTTTCAAAATATGTTAGAAACATTTGTTTTGTAATAATCAATTAGTAAAGAGGTAATTTAATTGTTTTTATAATTATTTATGATTTGTATTTATAAATTATTTATAAAATAAAAGAATCCAAATCCATCCCAAATCCTACAAACCAAACGCACCAAAGATTCCAAATCCTTCAAAATCCAAATCCCTCCAATTCCAAATCCTTCCAGGAAATCCAAATCCCTCAAAACCATTCCATCAAACTAAACGCTCCCTAAGTGGAATGTGGGTGAATATTTTCTGATATCAGTAAAAATATAGTTGTACCCTTGAGCATTTGACTCGACTTTTGACTCAATCGAGCCCAAGCTCCCGAAAAGAGAGGGATTCTGATTTCAAGGATTGCCTTATTGCTCCTCATTATCCAAAGGAACACAAATGCAAGAAAGTTGCACCAAAATATGCAGGGAGTTTGAACGTGGTTGCAAGTTAAATCTAGTGTGATTGCTGGAAAGAATTAGGGTTGTAATTCGATAACTACGATAACTCAAGGAACACTGAATATTAGAGTAAATTTTTGGTAAGACTATCTCGAAACAAATTAACACTACTTATCGGGGGACTAATACAAATGACTAATAATTGTAACTTGTTAAATCTCTTAGTGGAATGCAAACTATTAGGTGGCTCAGGAAATCATTTATAGTAAAAGCCCTTTAGGAGTAAAAAAAAAATACCTTTCTAGGTGTAATTAGTCGTATTTCTCTTGATGCAAATTATAATGTGCAAGACATATATTTATACAGGGTTTGGGGAAATCAAATCTCAATAATCTCCTAATCTAAAGGATCTTGTTTTCTTCTCTTGTTAATTCCGTAACACTCCCCCTCAAGCTGGAGCATAGATATTGATCATGCCCATTACAAGTGTAGTCAATACGGTTCCCATTCACGGCTTTTGTAAAAATGTCTCCTAACTGATCTTTTGTTTGAACATGTACTGTTGCAATGAATCTGTCCTCAATATCGTCCTGAACAAAATGACAATCGATTTCGATATGCTTAGTTCTTTCATGAAAAACAGGATTTGAAGCAATATGAAGGGTTGCCTTGTTATCATACCACAACTTTGATGAAAATGCAAGCGCATGGCAAATTTCCTTAAGTAGTTGACGTATCCATACTATCTCACAAATCGAGACAACCATTGCCCTATATTCTGATTCAGCCGTCGACTGAGATACCACATTCTATTTCTTGCTCCTCTATGAAACCAAAATTCCTCCAACAAACACACAATACCCTGAGGTGGATCTCTTGTCATCCATGCATCCACCATAGCCTGCATCGGAAAAAGCTTCAATTAGGCCTGTGAAGCATTCTACTTGGCATCACCATGATATCTGTAAAACAATCGTCGACCGGGAGCGCCTTTAAGATAACAAAGAATTTAATCTAGACGGGCCCAATGGTTAATTGTTGGAGCAAACATGAATCAACTGACGACACTGACTGCAAATGCAATGCCTAGGCATGTTACTGTAAGGTAATTAAGTTTTCCAACAAGCCATATGTACCTCTCAGGGTCATGAACTGGTTCTCATTCATCCTTTCTTGGGTACACATTAGGAGTTACCGGAGTGCTGCATGGTTTAGCTCCCAATTTCCATGTTCTTTTAGAAGGTCGAGAACATAATTTTCTCTGATAAGAGGGACCCCCCCCCCCCTTTTGTTTCTCATGATCTCTACTCCATGGAAATATTTCAGTGGTCCCAAATCCTTTGTCCAATAGTGAGAGTGAAGAGACGTCTTGAGTTCTAACATGCCTCAACCATCACTTCCGGTGATCACAATATCATCAACATATACAAGTAGGATAACCCGATTTTTCGATCACTTCTAGAAAACTGTATGATCGGACTAACACTTTTGCATTCCTTATTTCAGAATAAGCTGGCTGAATTTTCCAAAACCATGCTCGAGAACTCTGCTTCAATCCATATAAGGATTTCAAAAGTCAACATACTTTCCCTCAACAACAAATCTAGGTGGTTGTTCCATATAATTCTTCCTTGAGAGAGCCATGAAGAAAAGCATTCTTGATATCCAATTGAGTAAGGGCCAATCAAAGTTGCGGCCAAAGAACTTCGCCCTATTCGTCCATCAATGAGATGCTCCTTGTCTCACCTAAATACGTTTAGCACTCTTCCATCACTAGTGTACACAACTAAACTAGTGAATCTAATCCATAGTGCTACACAGGTAGTCTGGTAGAGATCCAATTCAATATGTTGAAACAGACGTCAATGCCCGATAATTTCTTTAAAGATGTCATTGAAGTTGAGTTAATATTTTCCACAGAAACCAAAGATCTTGTGAACTTCCTGATAGAATTTGTCAGCCAAACTACTTTGCTTACAGACCATGGAAGTTATCCTCATAAAAGAAAGGTTCAAGAGGCTGTCGGTATATAAAAATAAAATAAAAACAAATTCCGCAACCCTAAATGCCACCAAACAAAGGAAGTTCAGGTGCTAACTCCTACCAGCCAAAAAACAAGATAAAGATGAAGAGAGGGGCTCCTTATCCCGACACCCAACCCTACACATATCACCCCACGTTTCATGAAACCCAACCAACAAATTCAAATGACTATAGTAGTTCAATATCTGATATCTTAGGGAATACCCTTCTCAAAGGAACCTTCTATTATTGTTATAGATCAACTTTTTTTGGGTTCTATTCTTTGAAGTATATAATATTTGTATGCAGAAAATACTCACACACTCATCACCTTTGGTGAGGTTTGAACCCTTGACCTCCTGGAATGCTGGGCTCTACCGCTAACCCAAGTACTGCCAGGCCAATGACCCTCTGGTTCCATTGGCCAATCAATTAGCTCAATATTGGCCTAATTCAGGGTAAAAATGTCACCATGAATCATACCTTACAACCAGAAACTAGCAGTAAGGTATTCATACAACATAAGAACCAAATTGCATGTAAACCAAAGAACTTGACTTCAATATAAGCAGAAATCAAGTGACAAAAAACTATAGAGGTACCTCTCTTAGAAGCACAATAGTTGTTCTCAACCACCTTCAGGCATCCATGCCTCGTTGGAGCAGCATAAGCTACGGTTATTCCTGCATATCATTTTTACTGATTGAAACACAATGCTGAATTCTTACGCCAGTAATGGAAAAAAAGTGATAAAAGCATGCAAAAAAATTTAACAATAGTGAAGTAGCAATCATACAAAAACGAACAAGCCATATAAATGCAACTAGCATAGATGCTTCACATATTGAGCATGAAATCAGCATTAAATAATCTCACTGTAACAAAACTCCATAATGCATGTTGTACATATTTCTATATACATCACTTCCATGAATCCAATTTGCACTCCAAACAAATGAACATCTGCACTCCTAAATTTGAAAGCAACTGTTTTGTGTCTCAATCAAGTTTAATATTTAGAACTACATGTCTCATCCAGACTTACCAGAAACCACCATATCCAGAGGATTTCCCAATTTAGCACTTCCATCTAAGATAAATGTAAGATTTAAAACATTTATTAACTTAAGTAGCAGCGATCTCATTTCAACCTAAACATTATTGAATTCTAATCTTCAGATATTTGACAATTATTTCCAGACTTGATATCTGAGGAGGCATCATACTATAAAACTACCTTTAAGTATTAGTAGCATAACAAAAATGCGTTCCTCGTCATTAATATGTTTGCTCGTGGCAATTGTGGCTTAGGTATAGTGGTACTCAGTTCATTGGCAAAAAGAAGCACCTAACTATAGTACCCTTAGAATGCCACCTCTGGTATGAAAAATGTTAGGTGATGCATGCTTATTTGCTCCTGAAACAAAATGTACCAATAGTCCAACACAATCATCATCTCACAATTGGTACTTCAACAAACTTGGATTTTCATGCATTAAAAAGAAAAGACACCACAATAACTATAACTTCTTTGTAGGAATGTTGCTGCTTTGTTCCCTTGTTATCTCTCTCTATCTCGCATCATTCCCAAATTCTTTGTTAGTCATTTCATTCTTCTTTAACAAGTTATTCTCTTTACAGGCATTTTAAAATAGAATACAGGGAACGAAAGAAGCAGATCTCTAACTAGTGTGTGTGCTTGCTCATATCTCGAATTACTGTGCTAGTTAGTCTTTTTATGCTCTCTCTCTCTTGGTGTGTGTGGAGGGACTAAAATCTGCTCAACAACCATTTGGTTATTTACAAAGTCAGCACAAATGTAATTTCAACCAACAAACTTTGTGAATATGATGTTCATCAGCAGTACTCACACAACCAAATCAACCTAAACCCATGAGCCACTCCAAAGGGGGACACCTTGTAACACCAGAAATTTTCGTTACTATTATTTAATTTGAGTTCGTCTTTAAAATGTCGTTCTTTAGTATTGAAGTTGAGCTCCTTTGAAGGTCTTTTGGCATTTTAGTGTTTCAAGGAATTGAACTGATAAGAACGAAACAGTGGGTCGGGCTAGTTTTGGCGCTAGTTTAAGCGCTAGTTTAAGTAGCGGTGAAACTAGCGCCAGGCACTGTTCGATTGCATTCAAAATGCTCGGGCTATTTTCAGCGCTAGATTAACTAGACCACTGGCCAGCGGAATAAGGGCCGATTTTTGGGTTTTCACTCTCATCATTCTCACCTAACTCATTTATTTCCCAAATTTCTTCCTTCCTCCTCATCATTAATGGCGATTTAGGGGAGCATTTAAGACCCTCTTCCACCACTTCCTAGGAGGATTTCATCATCAATACTTAAGATCCATGTTTAGGACTTAAGATTCAAGTGTTCATCTCCATTTCAAGCATTTTCTTGATTTTCTAGGTTTTCACCAAAACCTAGTATTGTGAGTACATCCTACACTTTTATCAAAACCATATACATGTTAAAATGATGTATTTTAGTTCCTTAAAGCCTTTATTTCATCTATTTAACATTTGGTTGATTTTGGACCATCTAGGTCAAAAATGGAAATTTTGGGACTTTCATATCTTTGATAAAACAAGTGTGGGGAAAGGTTTGAACTACATAGGAGGTGATTATTTCCAAGTCTTGATGAGTTTTAGAACTTAAAACTCTAAAGTTCATATGTTGAGAATTTGTTGATAAAAGGGGATTTTGCCACTTGATGATTGGTAACAAATAATACATATTTGGTAAAGTTTGAGATATCTATAGGATATGGTTATATGACTAGGTATATTCAAGTGAGACGGTCTTCCCTTTGTAACTAGAAATACGCATTGGGTCCTCAAGGGCAACTTAGTATGGGTCTTCGGAGCTGGATACTAGCCATTGACAGCATAATATAATTTCTAGCGAATGAGTATACCTAGGATCACCGGGGGCCGTAAACTTTGAGTTACGGTTGGTTGGTGCCATTGGCTATTGATCCTTAGTGTGCGCCCTTAACATGGAGCTGTGGCCTACTTTTGGTGTTCCACCATAGCCATGAAACCGGGTCTCCCCGTCATCGCAAGATGTGTATTGAACCTTATGGTCTCATTTGGAAAATAATGGACTTGAGTTTTAAATCGGAGTTATAAATTCTCACCGTTTTGATTATTTATGTTATTTATAACTGTTTGTTCTCACTAGGCTTTAAGCCTAACACTTTTTCTTAAAATGATATGTATATCAGGTTCTCTTAGCTATGGGGATCCGAAGTCTTGAACGGAGGGATGGGATGCCGATAGAGGCACTTTTGTGGATGATAGCTTTTGGTCAATAGGCGTTACTTATACAATGACAAGATTCTTTTGGGAGAAGATAGAGACACCCGTGTATAATCTAAGACTTGGAATAGTTTAGATTAGTAGATTGTTATTTATCATCTTTATAAATTGGGTTGTAAACACTATACTATTTCCCTATTTTGGTGATTTCATATTTGATACTTTGGTTTAAATTTACTCTCATTTTAGGGGTGTTACACACCTACTAAGAGACCATTCAGGACATCACTCACGCTTCTCAAAAAAACAAGTCACAAAAATCAAACCAACAAACACAGTATATCCCACCCGAAGGTAGAGTTTGGAGACCGGTGAGATGTATGCAAACCAAGCCTCCACCCAAAGAGTAGAGCGATTGTTATCGTGAAGACCCCTGACTAGTACATGGTGTGGGGAAAAAAGAGATACGTATTAAAACCGCAGAAGAACATAAGAAAAGATTTTGAATTTTTTTTTAAAACAATAAAGCCAGTGCCACATTTTGAAAAAACAAGTTAGAAAAGCAACCAAAAATCAAACAAACAAAACACACGAACAGATGCACTTACACGAAACCAAGGTAGAAAACCCACCCCTAGTCTAACCTTAGGATTCAAGCGGTCTAACTGCCGTTAATTAACCCTACCCTCATCCTCTAGCTCTCTAGATCTCTTGCTCCCATCTAGGAGCCCACCCCCAGTCTACTACCGTAATATTGCGTCTCAAGGGTTCCGCTAATTGCCCTCATAAATTCCTAAAGCCACCATGGTTATCATCAGTTGCTCATCTAAGGTCCACCTCGAGATATTGCTACTCTTTACCCCCTCGACCCTCACATTTTCTACCCTCCTTACAGGAGTCATCCTCCATCTCCTACAAACGTTGCCAGACCACCACAATCTTCCATCTCTCAACTTATATATGATGCACGCATCACCGAACACTGCCCGACAGACCTTGTTTGGAATCTTGTCAAGTATGGTGTGCCCATAAGTCCATCTAAGCATCCTCACTTCTGCAACCTCCAACTTCCTCTCATTAGCCTTCCATGTCTACCTACATTCTGACCCATCCAACATAGTTGGTCTGATGCTACCCAGTAAGCCTTTCAGTTTTAATGGACCTTCTTGTCACATAATACCCAGCCCTCCACTTTAGCAACCCAGTCCTCAAGCATATGTTATTTCATCCTCGACATCAACCCCCCCCCCCTTGGATTATGGATCCTAGATACTTGAAACTATCATTTGGGGTACCATTTGTCCCCCAATGTTGACTTTCATCCCCTTGTCAATACTCTCCCCACTGAAATTGCACCATAAGTATTTGGTCTGGGAGCAACTAATGCGCATGCCTTATGGTTCCAAAGCCCCCCTCCACTACTCCAACCTCTCTATCACTTCAACCTTGAACTCTGCTAGTAGCACAATGTCTCTACAAATAGCACACACCTTAGAACGCTCCCTTGGATCCCTCGGGAGATCTCATCCAAAATCACAACAAATAGGAATGGGCTTAGTGTCGATCCTTGGTGAAGCCTATCTACATCGGGAAATATTCCATCTCACTCCCAAGCGTCCTAACACATGTCATCGATCATCCATACATATTTTGTATCGCCTTGAGATACTCAAGGGGACCCCCCCTATTTTTCCAAACTCTGCCACATTACGTCTCGTGAAACAATATCTTACGCATTCTCCAGATCCATGAACAGCATGCGTAAATCCCTGCTATGTTACCTATACTTCTCCATGGGGTATCTCAAGATGTGAATGGCCTTGATTGTTGATCGACCTGGCATGAAACCAAATTGTTTCTCTGTCATCCTTCACGGGAATAAAAGGATATCCATCCACCCCACACTCTTTTCCATAAGAAAACAACATGGCTCCTTATAAACATGCTCCAAAGACGCACACTTTAACTATTTCCTCTCCCAAATGACACCAACAGGTCAACTTTTTGTTCTATCTATCACAAACAATGTAACTATCAAAGTTTTTTATGCATCTAATTTTGTCTATCGATGAGTTGTCCCAATGCATAATTTTTCTACTGATGCATTTTCCCAATGCATATTTTGTCTATTGATGCGTTGTCACAATGTATATTCTGTCTATTTATGCGCCGTCGCAATGCATCCACCTTTGCATAAGCATTAAACCATACTCATGCACATACAAGCCTTGCTAATATATTTTCAGATGGCATTAAGATTCCTCATGATATCTCCTAATCCCCATTAACTTAATATCATCTCAAGTGTAAAGCACTATACCCCAGACCCTTCCACCTATTACCAAAGTGGCACTCATAAATCATAGTTGATAGTGATGCATAATTCGTAAGTCAAACCAAGATAAATCATTGTCACGATGCATACATTTTTTTACCAATCTTTTCACCTAAGGTCTTAGGTTAAAACTTGGTGACTTCAATTGATAAATGAATCACCATAAGCCATGTTTTTCATGGTAGTTATTATTCAATATTCATGTAGATGTATTACTCAAGATGACCTTATATTTCATGGGAACCCCTCTTGAACGGATATAAGGCCCTACTAATCGGTTAATCCTCTTGTAACTTGGTTTGACTTGAGGGCTATTTGTTGTAAGTTGTCTTGCGTTTAAGGTAGAAGATTGGTTGTAAAATGCTTGATCTGACAAAGTAATGCTTATTCCAAGAACGCCACATAGAAGGGAAGACCCCTTACTAAGCACCATATTCCCAATTCATTTTGAAGAGGGAATTTACTCTTTATAGAAAAGGATGTTGAAAGGGCGAGTGGGTGAATTTTAGTCAAGTAGTTAACTTAGTTATTGACCTCTTTTGTTCATAACTAATAAATATATTTTATAATGCTATTTACTTATGTTATGTTATTCAGTAAGCTAGCTACCTCTGGCTGTAATCATTCTCTAAGATTAAGCACATAGTGTCTTATAGCAGAAAAACAATCATTAGTATCTACACACCATCTCTTGAAACCTTCAAGAGATGGCCAAAAGGTAGCATATCTTTTTCTTGGAAAGAAGGTAGCACTTCTTTATTGATCTTATCATCAAAAATTCAAATGCTACTACAGTTTTCTTGTCTGAATCACCACTACATAAATATCCATATGTAATGAACACCATTCGACAGTCCTTTCCTGTGCACCTCTTGATTGATTGTTTGATCAACCATTAAAAATCTACCAGAAATGTATAGGAAATGGTGAGTAGTTTTATAAAACGGGATATGTACACACACATATAAAAATAGAGGGAGAGGGGAGATTCAAGAGAGAGAGCTAAAAGAAATAGAACGAGGGAACCCTTCATCAACCATTTACTCGGATTCAAACTTGACTGCCCCTATAATAGTTGATTTAGTTATGGAAATGTAACCAATCCTATTATTCACAACCGTTGGACTAAAACAGATCGATGGTTGATAGAGGGAGGTTTCCCCGTTCTCCTTAGGGTTCTCCCTTGAACCCAGCACTATATAAGTATATATAGCTTTTCTTTAAACAGTCAACAGGCATGTCCCTAAAGAGACTCAAAATCACAACTTAAAGATCGTATAGATCCACTAATTACCATTATTACATGCAGATGGCTAACATATACAGATTCACATACAAGGATGAACTAGACTATAAACCAGAAAATTAAAGACCATAGGCCATAAACAAGTAGTTCAACATCACCTAACACGTGAATCCAGTTCCACAGATTTGCTTCGTCAAGAAGGGTAATTTCTATAAATGAATTGTGCCTTCTGCATCCTTGCTTCCTAAGGCTAGATGTGTATGATAAACATTTGCCTAACCTGTTAAGTGTTAACTAGTATATTACGTTGAAAAAGCCTTCTATGCTAACACCGGAAAACATTTAACACGTTGTCTCCCCATTGTTAAGTTCTAATGGACATTTTAAACAACAGTTAACAGAGAAAGGACAGCCAAGCACTTACTCACCTGCAACAAGATATACCGCGGACAATGCAAAAACCATGGCAGAGGGAACAAACACAACCATCCAATAATAATCAACAGTCTCTTGATCAGTAAGATAAAAAGCACCGCCCACGCGGTCCTCACCACGGATACCGATGTCCGCAGTCTCGATACTGCTAAAATTAATCGACAGAGGTTGGATTCTCAGATCTTTGCAGAATGGTCGCCTACCAGGATCACTTGGGAACATTATCTTCAAGCTAATAATGGTAGCAATGAAGATCGAGGATGTAATGAAGGAGAAAACAGAGATCAAGATCGGTCTTTGTAGCTTAATCCAAGCTTTATCCTCGTCACGTAGACTCTCATATTCGTGTTTCTGCATGAATGCTTGTCGTAAAGCGTCTCCGATGATGGCCATATCTTTTACTTGCAAACCCTCCGATATCTCCGCAGTTGGGCGTAAAAATTGACGGAGGTTTTTGATAATTAACGAATGAATTTGAGGAAGATTGAGCTGCTGGCAATTAAAACCCTAGAAATTGAGGATATTGAGAATTACAGATGAATCTTAATTTGATTTGTTGATGGAGGTCAGCTGCGGCCGTCACCATGCTTCAATTGTTTCTGTTTTTTAGTAATCTTCTCGTTAATGTACAAAAGTGTTATTATTGGATGATATCCATACATGATCTGCGCGCATAAACGAAGCCCATGAACTACCTAACTCCTAGGGTGTAAAAAAAACCTTCACCCCCAAAACCCAAATAACAACTCAATTAAATCCAACTGTTAAACCACCAAATTGTTAAATTGTCAAACCGTTAATTAGAAGGGTTGAAGTTGGGTCAACATAATTCAACTCAACCCAAACCGTCAACCCATCGCTAATATATATTATTTTAATAAAATTATGTATATATATATATATATATATATATATGATGTTTACAAAATTATAATTTACAGCCCAAAAATATATATATTTTGTAGTCTAATGTACAACCCAAATATTAAATACATGTATCCCTTGTCCAATTTATAGCCCAAACTTAATCCAACTATTGTCTAGGTCAAGTCCAATAGTACCAATACTCCAATTCAATTCACTGATTCAGTTCTCGACTTCACGTTCTCCTATTGTCTACTCGTCTAGCATCCCCAAATATGCAAATCATGACTACCGAATGCCACCGAACTGTGGTTGTTGGCTTGTTGCCGATCGGACTTGGTTGTTCGCTTGTTGCCGACCGGACTGCTCTCATTCTCGTCCCCAATTTGTACTCCCAATTCTGCTTCTCGAGTTCTCGAATCCTTTTCTACTTGTTACGGCTTACGGGACTGTGGTGACTTACTTGCTACCGGATTGTAGTTATTGTGAGTCTGTGAGTAAATCATTTTCTACTTGCTATAGGATTGTGGTTGCGTACTTTGTTTGGTATATTTTTAGTATTATTTATCATATTTCATTTGCCAACTTTATGAATTTTAGTAACCCGCTAACCAAACCCAGTCCGCCCTAACCTGTAAGGGTTGAGTTGAGATTTTCCAAACTACCATAATTAGGTTGAGCTGTAAAAATGTTAAAAATCGCCCAACCCTACCTGCATACATCCCTACTAACTCCCGATATATTGATTCATTCCACCATGTTTATTTTTCTAGTATTATTATCGAGTAAATTCAAATTTGGTCTATATAGTTTACATCTTTTACTCATTTTAGTCTTAAAATAAAAATAAATATAAGACTAAACTTTAGTTTTGGTCCGGTTGTTTTTTTTTTTTTTTTGAAAATCTTGGTTTTGATCCTTAGAGTTGATTTATTATTACAATTTGCAATTTTGAGTGGTTTTAGTCCCTCACTCTAACATGTGTTAAGTTTCATCTCTTACATAAAGGGTATTTCAGTCTTTTAATTTTTTCATTTTTCTTAAAAAATCAAAAAATATGTTTATACTATACTTATATATATATATAGAGAGAGAGAGAGAGACAGGGGAGAGGATATGTTTATGGAAAAACCTTAAAAATAAGAACTTGAGAAACGCCTTGGTAATTATATATATATATATATATCTATATATATATATATATATATGATATACAAACGTGTATATAAATGCTTGAAGTTACTTCTTGGATTCCATACACGTATGCATATTATCAGGGTCGTCCCTTGGGAGGACGGCACTGACGCACGCCTAGGTCTCAAAAAAATCAGGGGGCCCAAATTTTTCCCTTAACATACATATGTAGTCTAAAAAAATTTAATAATTTGAAGGAAAAAATTGTAGTATATAATAAGAGGCAAAAAGAATTTAGTGGATAATAAGGGCCCAAAAATATATCAACTAGTTGCATTTGAGAATAAAATAAAAAAAATTAATTGGTCATTCAATATATGTTATTGTTTATCGTCTCTCTAATTTTTTTATCTCCAGCAAGGTCCAATGACATTGGCTATTGCTATCTCTATATGCTTGACTATTTTCGTGTTTCAACAATTCAACATTAAGATCATGTGTTTGAGCTATATATTTTTGTTGGATATTTTTATGTATTTCTGCTTCTATTGACTATTGTTATATGGTTATGTCGTTCTAATTGTTTTTGTTAACTATTGTTGCTTCTACAAAAAATATCTTACTGTTGTCTGACAATCAATCTATTGTTCTTATGATTTATGAGGAGTTTCATGGTTTTGTAATTAATCAATAAATTTCCCTACTAGATGCATTTAGTAACCTCTCTCATATATGTCATGTTCCATAAACTTTTAATCTTTACATCTTACTTTAGTTGAGCAAAAATAAGAAGGAAAATAAAATTTAAATATTTTCATCAATTGTTTGACTTATGTATCTTTCATTGAGATTCCACCATACCACAAGATTCTATTTAAATGCTCAAACAACCATTTGTTAAGCTTGCATATTATATGTTTAATTCATTATTTATTTTTATTGGATTTCAATGGATCATCTTATCTTCCATATTCTTATTGATCCTCATTTGTCTACTTGTCAAGAAAACCTTAATAATCTTCTCTGTTATTGATCTCTCATTGACCCTCACGATTATTTCATTCACACGAATTCTCTATTTTTATCAAAATAACACATATTTCTTGTTATGAACTACAAAAATTCTTACTTTTTACAAAAAAAATGTATCAACCACAGCTTCTATACTCTAGGTTTCAGATTACCTAATAATAAGTACGTAAATTTAAGTACTCTATTATAATAAAGATAAATAAGATTTTTTTCCTTAGTAAATTATTAACATTTCCTGTACTCAATTTTATATCAATGAAAAACATTTATTGAATCTTTTTCATACTTACCGAGGGTTACTACAAGAAAATTGAGCTTTGACGATGCGTCTTTTAGCGATGACATGTTTCTGACACAAATTATAGCGACGACATGTTGTTGTTAATACTCTTTCTAATGATAAATGGACTTTTAGCAACGACAAAAATCATTGCTAAAAGTCTTGTTTCTTGCAATGTGATCTGTTTTTACATTCGTCTAGGACCTATAAAATGTTAGGAACGAGTATGCATATTATGCACATGTCTATACTGAACAAATTACTTAGAAATTACTTGTATACACATATACATACTATACATTTTCTATAGTTTTTCCCTGAGCCTGAGCCTCACCATATATATCAACATAAATACACACACATAGCTTTTCCTCTTTCTTTCCGGTGACCTTAAATTCAGGAATGGTCCTAAACCTTCAACAACACCAAAATCATGAACGCAACTTTTTTTTTTTCATTCCACCAAGCACCAACATTATCAAAACCAATCTCCAATGCCTTCTTTTTGTTTCCTTCAACATGAGCAACACTGACTTCCTACCATACATCTCCTTTCTTCCCCCTTTTTTTGTTTTTTTTATAGTTTCCTTCCATCGAGCACCACCATCATCTTCCCTTCCCCCAAACACTCCGCATCACCACTGCACTTCCTTCATTTTTGCACAAATTACGTTATAACCCATAACTTTCTTGATGTTCAACCATCTCCAACCCCTCTCTCCCTCGCTAATCCACCTTCTAGGTGTTCAACCTCCAAATTCTAGCTGCAAACACCAACTCAAGTCCTAAAAGTTTCTCAGATCTTTTCTTCACTGGCACAACGATTTCTCCCCGATCGATTAATTTCCCTAATCATGTTCCCAAAATTCAACATATATGTGTCTGGATCCAGCACGTTCCCAAAATACTTTCTAAACAATCCTATATTTCTCGATGAATTGACTTATGATTAGCATGGTGGAAGCAAATAGATTTACAATTAATAATCAACACATATGAACATGAATGATATCACCAACAACTGTAGTCATTTATGTATTGATTCAGATCTTGGAGAGTTATAAAATCAGATTGTTTGAGTGCCAAATATTTGAGAGAATTACAATGAAATACTTGAGGAAAACTATTTGAACAAATATACAAACCTATATTTATTCAATCAATTTTGAACCATACAGTAAGAAACATACAAATGTAAACCTAACTAGTTGTTAATCAATATTGTTAAAAGTCATTCATATTCCAATCTTGACTTGTGATCATGTTAACTAATTTAGCTTTGAACTCCTTGTTTGTTAATCTTTGACAGATAAGGGTAGAATATATAAGTTGCTGAAAAGGTTGCTGATAACTCAATACATGGACTGCGCCTCACTATTTTATATTAACCAAGGGTAGCGGAGTACTAAAGGAGAATCTTCAAGGGCCTTTCTTGTCAAATCTGAAATATATATAAAGGGGCATTTGACCGACTCAACTCATATACAACTCAAATTTTCTCTAAATTTCTCTCACCTACTCAAGGAGCTCTCTCAATTTAGTTCTCTGTTTTCATAAAAGATTAGCCTTCGATCTTAATAAATCTACACATTGAGTTAGTATTTCTTGTTCCTTTATTCTTAGATCTAATGGTGCTAGAGATTTAGATGATATATTTGTAGTCAATATGTTTCTGTTTCAGTTGTTGTAAAGAATCTATATTGTTTTTAATATTCAGATGTTTGAAGTTTTGGAAAATAACATGGTATCAGAGCCTTACGCTAGGCTGTGTGTTTACCTCGCTTGTTAGATACATGACTGGTTCGAATCATCAATGTTTGGTGTGCCTTATGCCATCATACAACAGATTCATCCACGATATCGGTTGCCTTTTCATCTTCTTATTTTTYCTTTGTTCCAGAAGTGATTGTTAGGGTATGAACCATTTTTTTGGTCCTCTTTCAAGATCTGGTCGTTGACAGATTCGTTCACCATCTGTTGCCTCTTCGTCTTCTATTTTTTGGTGTCTTCCAGAAATGATTGTAAGGGTGAGTATCTTTCTTCTTGGTCCCTTTTCAAGATCTGGTCCGTCTTTTKTGTTAGCTTGAGAATCTGGTCCCATTTCCAGATTCGGTTTATGTGTCAGTTGAGGATCTGGTCATTTCTTCCAGATTCGGCTGGTGTCCTTCTTATCTTGTTTTTGTTACGGATCTGAGTCCTTATTTCCAGATCTGATTAAAATGCATTTTCATATTTCCTTTTATCTTGTTATTGTTGAGGATCTGGTCATTTCTTCCAGATTCGGCTGGTGCATGTCCTTATCTTGTTTT